AGTGTTCTTTTAAACCCGTTGCTAGATAAATTATAAAGATACCCTTTTTTGCGTTTTACTATCAATCTATTTTCTCTTAAAGGCACATTGTGCTTATGAAATCATTACATTTTGCAATCTGTAGAAAGGGTTAATATTTGTTTTATAATAGTGGAAAAAATTAATTTAGTAAAAGTGAGATGCTTAACGTCAAAAGAAAATAGTGCCTCATGTGAAATAATTTGTCATGAAGGTAGCAAAATTTAAACAAATTGGAATTTTGGCTTCCATACAAACTACTTATTCACTAACCGCACTTCTTGCCAAACTTCAAGAGAAACAAAAGATGGATCAGGTTTGTGGTCAATGAATATCTTTTGTATAAGCTTCATCAATTTAGAGCTGCTGCAAATAGGAAATTAAAGCATTTTTGAGGCTTTTCACGATTATATACTAAACAGTTACCAAACAAGCACGTGATAAAGCATTTTCTTTCACGCAACCAAGAGCCTAAAACGATACCTTATTTTTCGTAAATAAAAACATTTAATAGAAGAAATCTGGTTCACCTTTTTGTGTTATGATATTTTCTTTTATTTTCTTCTCAGTGAGGATGCTACATATGTACTGTTAAGTGTTTATCAATTATCCAATTCTACAGTGATTACGAGTTATTTACGTGCCAATGGACAATCAATACAATAATTGTACTGCTCTTTTAGTACCATTTTGTTTCAGAACTTGTTTGCAAATTGGTGAATTTTATATCGGTGTTTTAAATCGTTCGCAGACACATCATTTATTTTTTGGAACTGATTAGTTCTGATATTTATAATTATATAAAAAAAGATATATAAATCTGGAGAAGTTTTGATATGAAAACCATGGATTTATTGTTTATCAAACTATTGGCATTTAATTTGATAACATTTTTGTTCTCGTTGAAGATAAGTGAATCTTCGAACACCACCCTTCTCCTAATAGGTAAATATTACACACTTTGATTGTAAAGATTTTAGGTATGGCCATTCAATTTGATTTGTATAAACATTTCCAGTATTTAATTATAAACAATATACATAATTATATAATGATATACATTTTTCCATATGTAACTGCAAAATTACATCTTGTAAGATGAATACAACGGTATAAGAATCTAGGCGGTTGACTTTTATTTTTGTGTAACGTTTTACATTTAGATAACCGTGAAAAAGTGTTCATTGTCAAACATTTCGAGTTGTGCTTTGGAGTTTTTAAAGTATTGATTTGCTCCTTAACAATTACAATATTTCTTTATAATGTTGGCTTACTTCACTTCAGTGTTTTTTGTCTATTTTTCGTGTCCTTCGGAATCATTGATTCCAGCTCGCAAGTATTGAAGATTGAAAACCGCTTAAGCCGGTGTTAGGGGGTCGTGAGAGCTATAGAACTAATTCATTATGTTTAATGAGTAGACTTAATCAAATCGAGTATGAAAGTTTCATATTATATTGTTGTTTTAGTGCTTTCAAGGGGTCACCATTTTCTTTCCTGATTCTTATTTAGCCTTTCATTTAAGACAGCATATTTTAGATAATTCAACTTGAAATTTATTGTATGGAAGCTGCACTTTTTTCAGTAATCTTGTTGTTTTTGTGTATTTCTTATATGAATGTTCATGCTTGACATTTGATTAAATACTTAAAGTTATAAAAAATTGAATAGCAATTGAATGGTATCTTTACTGTTAAAAATAAAATTATACAAATACATTTCTATTTATCAAAGCTGATATGACTACAACAACTGATTTCTAAAGTATTTTCGGTCGGTTGAGATGTTTGCCGGGCGAAAGTAAACTGGATTAACCAAATTAGAAATAAACATCATTTCTAACTAAAATTATACCTTCTCTAATATATCTTGAAGAATGATAATGACATGTCTTTTATCCATAATTGTATCATAATTCCTAATCAGTCTTTTTACATGTTCATTTGTTGGTACAGAAAGCTTAAAATGGGTGATATAATTTAAGCTGTTTCAAATATTTTATTTTATGTATAATATATCGCTCGTCATCGCACTTTTATTTATCGTTTTATGTTCGTGTCCTCTTACAGTAATTCAACTAAGTGAAAGGGGAGCAACAGATGTATGATGCGCTCTGTTAACTTCACTAAGAATAATATTTACATTCGTTAACAAAAGGGGAGCACTCACGTATTGAATAATCAGCCGCTAGATCGTATGATAGCTGTAATATATAGTCTCTCTGGTGATATAATGCAAACAATCCCCTACAAAATATTGTAACATTTGCCATTTGAATTTAAGTTTCAAACCTTTTGAAAAATAACAGTTATGATGATAATAAAAACAATAAAAAGAAGTATTCACAAAGGCTAGTAATAAACCATTTGATACCCTTTTCTCAATATATCTCAGTTTGTAAATGTATGGTTCTAGAAAAAACTTGGTTTGCAATAACATTGCACACATTATTTTTCAAACCTTTGCGAGGTCTGGTTTCAGTTATTCTTTTCAAATCTTATACAAAAAATAAACAAAAACAAAACATATTAAATAAAAAATTCCTTGATAATAAAATCTTGATGGGAGGCACGAAAATAGTAGTGAAACATTGTACAGTAACAACAAGTGCAATGGTGCTAATTTTCTACATCAGGAACTTGCGAAACATGTTTGTTGATCATTATAATAAAAATGAATGTACAATCAAGAAATGTTCATTTTCTATTCAGGCAAAGGAAAAATGGCGTTGTTTTTTGTCATATCAAGTTTAATATGACTGGCCTTGAAGTATTGATTACCATAATGTTTTAAACCCTTAAAAAAAGCCAATGGTTGTTCCATTCTTTAAACTTCAAGAAGTGACATTATCATTGTCAAATCGAGCAGCATGAACCATATATTTAAAAAGATTGACTGTTATAATGGTCATTCACCAACAGCTGATATTTGTAAATGTTAAGAATAAAATATAAATCTAAATATAAGATAAAATGACTGCCCCACACATTTTTGTGAATTAAAAGTTTGTATCACTGGTACATTCCGATGGGTATTTACATAAATTTCATTTACCTAGGCGAGTTATTAATCGTTCATGCAAAATAAAGTATAACATTGATGGATTACGCAAAATGAAAACTAATTTTGACTTGAATATGTTCAATCATTATATACCCTTTGATAGGCATAATGTAATTTTTATAGACACACTCTGAAAATTGTACAAAGAGGTTTTCGGAATGTTATTTTTGAAATTAAAAGATACACATAAGATAAGATATAATATTTTATTCAGAGGTGTATACAGATCAAATGGTCTCTTACAATTATTTTAAGCATAAAAATGAATTGGAAATTAGCTATTCAAATTTCTTAATGTCATAAGTATGTTCTTACAAAATATGTTATCGCATTTACGAGTATAACTTGAGTTTGAGTGAAAAATGTTGTCCAAATAAAGGAAGAAAACACCATTTATGGAACTATACAAAAGGTAGGAAAATAGTGCATCTTACACCCTACGCACAGAGCTCAATGATTTTGTTTTTGATAAATGCACTATACCTCAAACAAAAAACGGACCACATATTTGTTTAAATATTCATATGATAAGGTATACAGAATGTAGAACTTGACATCTATGTTGGAGAGTTCAACGTTTTCCAACACCTTAAATATTAATCTCATCACGAGCGGTAGTGTGTTATATGAAAAATCGTGTATTATGTTAGGCTGATGTAAATATTGACAGGAAATTGCACAAGGGAATAAGAATGATATCTGTTCACTTTTTTCGTGCAATGGATGTTATTCAATTAATAACGAATACATTAGTTTATTGATATTAAAATCGAGTTAGTCAATTCATATAAAGTAGATATAAAGTAGACTGGAATTGCACAAATTTAAGATTATCAAGAATTAATGCTTATGAGTATTTTTGCATATTATGTTATATAAGTAATATAATACCTTAGTAAAAACAGTTCTGTCTCGAAAAAGAAAAGAAAATAAGAAAAAAACCCACAAAAAACAAACAAACAAACAAAAATTGCAAGAAAACAACACCTTGACAACGCAAGTAAGACACTTAGAACCCTTGACTTCTCGACCCCTTAGGGTGTTTTAAGACGACTTCTAGACAAAAACAGCACACACAGTATCAACAACAAGACAATTTTGACAACTCACGTATAAAAGATTTCAATGGCATTTACATCGTGTAACAGTGTACTTGTTTAATTGATTCAAAAGCGTTTTTTTTAATTATCCATTGTTTGAACTAGTCAATTGATGTTAGAGACATACTCGTATTATTTAGCAAGTCAACAGTTATTATTTCAAAACTAATACAAATTTCAATGAAATTTTATTGATTGATATGAGACAAAAACAATACGTTAGCCCGCAGCATGTTTTGTAATTTAGCTTTTGAAATGATGGAATTTAATGAAGTATTGATCTTTGACTTACATTTGCAGCTTTGATACTGACAATCATAATTTTGTTTTTTTAAACAGAGTTGAAAAAAAAAAAGGTATTTTTAACCATGTTTCTTTGTTATTTACTACTTATGAATAATAATAATTAAATAAAGTTTAAACCACAAGGCCGGAAGTGTCTTTTCAATATAATGTCAAGACAAATACCAGTTTACATAAATTTTGTCATATTAATATAATCACACATTTGAAAAATTATATCAAAATGATCTCACAAAATGATAATTTCCTATATAGCACGGCATTGAAACTATTTTTAAAGCTTTCATCATCTATTAATCTAAACGTCCAAATAGCGTCATAAAAATGCATACAAACTCATAATCAATATCATACCAAACTGATCTTACAAAATGATTATATCACATAAAGCATAGTATTAAAACTATTCTGAGAACTTTCAATGTCTCATAAATTAAATCTAAACCTCTTAATTCGGAGGACTGAAATATACTGCGTTTTGTTCTTACATATTTTACAAATGAAAACATATTCCTTCAGGTATGGTTCGGCATGGAAACAAAAGTATCAGTAGAGAAACAGAAAACGATCGTAGTTGTAATGTAAGATATATTTGGTATACAGTAGACGCAACAGAGATATATCAAGTATATAGTGCAGGTAATTTTGTCATTTCTGATTTCAACTAACTACATCTATTTATTATTCAATTAAAAACAAGTTTCAGCATACATGAATCAACAAGTATAACTAGAACCGGGACAACATGGTCGTCATCTTAGTTTGGCTCGGACCCTGAATCCCGGGTTGAGTGACATACACCTTAACCACTTAATCACTGCTTCGGATGACATTTGTTATCAAGATTTAACGGTAGCGATCGGCATAAATACGACACAATTTTTTTAAAAACATTTATGACTGGCAAAACATCCAATAAAACTATTGTCTGTACATTCAATTAAGGTATGTCAATGCATTACGAATTCATTAAAAGTAATGAATCTAATTTGATTTAACCATTTGCCCACATCATTTATTGCTATATTAAATAGCTTTTTAAATAAATAAATAAATATATGTTATTTTGAACAATTTGTGTAATTCAGATTTGTTTGACGTAGTTCCGTTGCATAATTTTGAAATTGGAAAACACTAATCTTATACACCTATACTTTTTAAATCATTTAGAGACATTGAAAACTTGAGAAAAAATATTGAAAATCATTGATTTGTATAATAATCAAAAATTACAGTTCGGCAGTTAGAAATGAGATACAACGTTGATGTGATAGTTGTCCTAGACGATCTTGGTGCAGATCATCATTTAATTACAACAACCACTGTTCCATTAATAAAATGGGGAGCAAAGCCTGCATATATATTGAAGGTAAAGCAAATATATTCTGATTGTAAAGGTGTATGATTTTCAAAGAGTTGAATTTGAATTTGTAACATATCTTTTTTGCCACTAAATACATGTATTTAAGCTCCACTTTGTCCCAAAAATACTAGTCTGGTATGTCTGAAATGGCTTTTACTTTTTGTGTTCTTCATATGATTTAACAGTTTCCGAGAACATTCTCATTGGTCATAAAAATATTTTTGTTAAATGGCCATTTGATACGATGTTGTGATTAAGTAGTTTGTATGGAAGACAAAAGCAATTTCGCTTGTTTATTATTTCAATTATAAATTACCATTGCTTGAATATTTCAACACGTCTATGCACACTGTTAATATGTTATTTGCAGCAAAATATGGTCGCTCCTTTGAACAATACACTGGGAAAGATGAATGAAGTGGAATATTGTCCTGTAGTTGATGTACAAGATAAAAATGATCCGTACTGTTTTGAAAAAGCAGTTGTGAAAGAGATTAACAAGAATATTAATAATGATACAAGTTTTAAAATAAACGTAAGAGCAATTTCAAAATATATATATATTCACCCTGACATGATTCGTCTTTCTATCATTCGACCATCCGTATTGGCAAATATCCTATTGTCTATAATTTATATTTGTTTGTGTCGTACGTATTTGATTTGATAAAACAACTGCGGTAGTCATTTTCCGTTCGGAATTGTAAGAAGTAAATATCGAGTTCCCTTTGCAACACTTTTGTTTATACAGCCTTAATTGATATACTTATGTCATGACTTGCTTTAGTTTGTCTTCCATTGTAGGACTCGGCAAGGGTAACAATGTAACTAAGTATAAGGTGTGTCTTCCGAATCAGGATATAAATCCAAACAACCGATCATTTTAGGACAATAATTTTGATCACGTTAAACCATCCAATCGGAAATGCACTGAAGTAAGATTATGAAATCAAAGAGCTCAAGCTCATGATTCAAGTTCTTAGTGTACCATCATGGTTTCCCAGACCTCAAATAACCTAATTAAGTTGACAATTATTTGTGAAAAATCCGTCGGTATCGCACTCATTCTACCGATCATAATGATTTTATCTTGTGTTTTTAGGTGGATGTCAGAGGCGCAGATGTAATATCTATTCTGATCACAGGGAAACTAAAGTGGAAATTAGTTATTATCTTTCATGATACAGATACAGGTTCTATTTATCACCATTTATTGTTATCTTCATAAGTAACATTATGCAAATTGCACACGTTTTGATAATTGTAAAGAAGTAAAAAATATATAAAACAATATATATTGAAATGAACAATCCAACATATCATAAAGGGTGAGTTTTGCCGGGTTTTAAGACAAACCGACATTGTTATTGTCATATTTTGACTTGATAATACATTTAATGATAGGTTTTAAAAAGGTGTGCAATTTTAAAGGATTCTACAATTCCTATTTCATTATAATTATCACTTAATTAGATAATCAGTATTGGGACAGGACACTCATAAGCTTTATAGCTTTCTGTCCAATCTGTTAATATTTTTCATTTTTAAAATGTTTTGTTGAATAAATATGTTTAATCCAAATATTCAGTATGTTTTTCATTCCAGAAATGGAAGCTGCCCGAGTAGTGGATTTACTATCAAAGAATAGGATAATGATAGTTATTTATAACTTAGACGTTGAAGCAGATCTGATAAAAATACTCCACGAGGCGTATCAAAAAATTGTACCATTGCATACAGAAATAAATTTTGCTGTTCTCTGCAAATTTGATTGTATACGAAGACTTTTTAATACTGTAAGTTAACATTTTCTCTCGTCTCGTACACTGTACATCGTATCTATGTTATTATTTTTATCCTTTAATATTCATATATTTCATTTAAAATAATTGAAAATAGTACTTCTTATTTTGTATTAAATATAAGTGATTCAACTAGTGTTAAAGACGGTAGACACTTAACGCATTCCATTATTTCACGTTAACGGCACTTTATCAATACAAGTAGATTAGGTTTCATGGCTTCGGCCATTACTTGTATTATAACAATGTTTTGCATGAGCTAAGTACTGTTCCAAAATGGGCGCGAAAGTGGTTCAGATAAGATTCAAGTTACCATCACAAATATACTAAATTTAATGTGTCTGAATTAGTAATAAATTTAAATATGTCTTATTCATTTCATTTTCCTAACATTAAATGGCAAATCAGGATCTTATGAATCTAGTTTAACTGGTTTCTACTTATATAAATTTTACTTGCAGGCGAATCATTTTGATCAGACTGATTTAAAAACAAAGACTCTACTTCGTCAGTTTTCTAGATGGCTAGTCGTAGTATATGATCATCATTTTCACTTGTCAGCCACATTGAGAGATTGCGCGAAGGAAATCGACAATATTGCCGTTGTGGCTTTTCCAAGAATTTCGTCAACAAATGCGGAAAAGGTACACTATTATAACTTTTCATTACCATAAAAATTATACACTTTGTCGCTTTTTTAGTACATGTACTCCTAAAATGAGAATATGTAGAATAGAATAAACCATAATAAGAACTGTGACAGCCTTTAGTACAGTGTCATCTGTGTACCCTGTGGATGCCAGACTTTTACTAAATCGCTTTTGTCGCATTTTACAATATCATACCAGAAGATGAAAATTATAAACTTATTAGATAAGCATCTGATAACGTTCATTGAGAATTATTAGAAAGAAATGCAAACAAAGACACGTGTTAAGTGAAATGCCGAGCAATGACATTCAATGTTACAATGGACAAATTTGATGAAATACAGTTTAAAATATTGTTTTCACAGCGTGAGCACAAAAGCAAACATCAGAAATAATTATGAATGGCATCATTGTATACTCTAAAGAAATTAATTCAATCGTATCAAGTAAACATGATGTTCAAAGATCCATAACGGGCTTTATTAAGTATTGATTATTATTTACAAACTAATTAGTTTATTGGCATTTAGTATAGTTATTTTCCATTACAGTGGTTCCGTGAAACGTTACGTACTGTTGTCCAGGTACATGCTTTTGAAATAATTTCGGATACCGACAAACATACAGAAGACCTGATATTCAATGACACACATGTAAACATGACACGTGAAATCATTGCAGATCTTCAACAGGTTTGCATCCTCAAACTCTTTTACTTATGCAAACTGTGCCATTTTATTGACATTGTTTAATTAATTTTTGTTTTTTAATAATTAAACTTTAAAATCTTTTAGCACATCGCCGTATATTATTTATACAGTATGCCATTCATTTTGTCTGTTTATTCTGCAGTATATTAACAACATGCTAATATATGTACGCTTTTTTCATGTTAAAATAAGCACAGCTGTACATTTACATCCATACAAAATTCATTATATTTTCGAACTTTTCTGTCATTACTCCATTTCTATATTCATTGCAACAAGGGGTTTTCCACAGAGTATCGTATTTGACGTACCACGAATTTCATACATCGGAATCTATAACTTTGCGTTGCCCGTATATACTAAAATTGAACATTTCTTGGATGAACCTGGTTGCTGACGATAATAATTCAAAAATATTTTAAATCATCACTTTGACGATAATATCTTTGATGCATCAATATTGTATATTCGTATGTGTTATCAAACCATAATTCTTAGTTGCTTATACTTGAATACCACGAAGTTCTTCTTTTGTGGTATCATAACACAACTTCTAAGTATTTTTAAATGCATCATAGGAAGCACGTAACTGGCGACCAGAGAGTAGATGTGAAGGTTTTAGGATAGACACATTGATTTGGACACACAATGGTCGTGATTTTAACAATGTAGGCTATGTCTCAAAGGACGGTAACTTGGTTGTTTTTGCAGACCTGTTTCCAAATACAAAATATGGTTACAATGGAAGGCTATTTCAAGTCTCTACTTTGCATGTAAGTTTTGATTCGCACATAAAGATATAAATAAAACATACCAATAAGAGACTCGCAGCAACTTGTTTGTAATAATAATAAAGATATGATAATTAAACATAATCTCGTAGCAACATAACTTGTTAAAATTAACTCTGTTCAGCACATTAAGTTTGATACTTACATTACTCGTTCACAATTTCAGTATGAACCATTCGTTGTAAAAATGGTAGAAAACGGCAATGTTACATACGGAGGTATTTGTATGGAACTGCTGAACGAATTGTCAAAGACTCTCAATTTCACGTAGGTTGATCAGTAGTTAATGCAATTTGTATAGAAAACTTGAATGAATGAATGAATGAACGAACGAACGTACGTACGTACGTGCGTGCGTGCGTGCGTGTGTGTGTGTGTGTGTGTGTGGATGGATGGATGTAAGTATGAGTGAATGAATGAAAAGATCAATCAATTTATCAAATTTATTTACATTAAATGAATCTTATTCAAATTACATTTTAAATTTGATACAGAAATTTAGCCACATAAAATTGAAAATCAATGCCCATGTTAGTTTAATTTATTATTGTCATGTATGTTCTTCAAAGTTATTGAACTTATTATCATTGTATTAAAATATTTTAGTTTTAAACATTTTATTACCAGTTTCCAGTAGCAAAGTTTTCTTTTTAAGTAGATTTTATTTCTGATAGAAAGTCAAATAATTTCAGATACAATTTAACCGAACCGGAGGATCAAACATGGGGTGTTCCTGTATCACAGTCAGGAGACAAAATAATATTCAACGGAATGATTGGACAACTTCAACGAGAGGTTTGTGATAAAAGCGCTATTGGCTCCGATCGATTTAAAACAAATTTACTTAATTACTTTGTGTGCAGTTTTTGCGGATTCAAACAACATAACATGTTAATCGATGTTTTCTTTATTTTTCTGTATGTCAGCTTGTAGTTTGTACAACATGTTATTTCTTATTTCTTTATCTTGTAAATCAATACAAGAGTCTAGGAATCTCACCCTCTATTGAATCTAGTCTATGCTTTTGATGGTCCCTAATTAGTTGTCAATGATGACTGATCGATTAGATTATTTTAACCAAGCTTTACATGTCGTTAGAATTGTACATTTTGCGTGGGGTCATATTACTTCCTATTATTTCACTGTAAGTCCAAACCGAATCAATATTCTATATTAAATCATGCTTGCACTCTAACTGTGCATTTCAAACTTATCAATTTATCATTGATAAATAAAGTTTTTTTTTGAAATTTTGTTTTTGCCCATGGTACCTCATAAATTAATACAGTAAAAGATGATAAGAATATAGACAAATAATAAAAGAATGTTATACAATATTATTATATTGCCAATAATTAAACTAATCAATTTAAATAAACAACAAATACATTTTTAAAATGCATAAGCCATTTAGTTGTATTGTAAAACGAAATATTATTGACATCTAATTCAATTTGTAGGAAGTTGACATTGTTGCAGCAGACATCAGTATTCAAAAAGAGCGGGAAATGGTTATGGATTTCATGTTTCCGTATTATTACGGCTATACTTCCGTTCTGTTGAAAAAACCAGATCCAAACGCCCGAAAATGGAGGACGCTTGTAGATCCATTAAGATGGGAAGTGTTGATGACGATAGGCATCTGTCTTCTACTTGCTTCCCTTATGGCTTTTCTACTAGAAAAGTAAGAATTTTAAAGCGCTTTCTGTATTTTATTTGTACATTTATTCGTCTGATAGCCTATCAAGTTACGTTACTCATACCGCATTTACTTTTATTCAGATTCTTTTTTCAATTACAAAACAGTCAATTAAATATTTCAATAAAGCCATTTATTAAGTAAAATAACTGATTTTATATATCTACATGTGAAGAATATATTTCATGTTTTAAATAATAAATTGGCAAATATGTTTTAGATTTAACCCATTTTACAATGATCCTGAAAACGCTCAAATAGCAACACAGAACTATGGACTACACACATTCCACGACTCATTCTGGTATATGTACGGGGCATTATTGTCACAAGGTGATTAAATATTTACTAATGTGAAATAAAATAATAATATATCTACATGCGAGGGAGTAATGTTAAGTCTTAACTTTTCATATTTCAAAGACAAAACAGATAAAAGTATGTGTCTTAAAATAAGGATTATATTGTAACTTTTAGCATTGACTTTTATTTATGTTATATTTTCATTTAAACAGATACATTCAATATAACAGGAAAATAATATTGATAAATATATAACTGATATATTTCTAAGAATTAATTAAATTTAGTGAATAGACATTTTAAAAACTATATATTTTAGCTAAATATGTACTGTATTACTAGATTTGTGTATGAAAATAATCGTTATTTATCATAAGATTCCAAATAACATGCATTTGTTTTCAGGTGGGGTCAACTTACCAGAATCTGTGGCAGGGCGTACATTTGTCAGCTGTTGGTGGCTATTTTCAATTGTGGTTGTTGGAACTTACTGTGGAAACCTCATTGCTTTCCTCACTGTTACTAAAGATAAACCCCCGTTTGAAACTTTAGATGAAATGGCAGATTTAAAAGGAGATTATAAATGGGGTTTCCAAGAAGGAACACACTGGGAACATGTTTTCAAAGTATATATTTTTTAATTACCCGTTTTGAATAGCTGCGATAATGTACAGTTGTCACTAAGAATTTCTTATGTGTTCATATAAGTCTGGTCACTTATTTTCTATGAACTGCAGAGGATGCTTTCGTTAACCATGTAAATTGTTTTTCAATAAACTAATTCAAAAAATAAAATAAAATTGTGAGAGTGTTTTACTTAACGGGATGAGAAAGGTGCATTCGTGCTGTTCTTGGATTTATTTGGTAGAACCATTTACTTTAAATTTGTAATAAGTATAGATAGTTGTTTAATACAAATGTAAATTTTACCGCTAAATTGGATATAGCAAACTTAAATTCCAAAATAAATTCATAGTACTGTTCTATCTTTTCAAGTCTACTGAATAGCGAAAGTCCCTATCATCAACTTGAGCAGAATAAAATATTATTTTCAGAATATAAGCAACATCAGCATATTTGTTAATACGAGACATGAAAATCCAGCTTTCATTGTCAAATTTTATACTATAGGAAAGCGGCACGTGCTGCATTAATTTAAATAAAATAATAGTCAACGTTTAGGATGAGAAGTTGCAATATTTTAGATTTCACCTTATTTGATGACACTCGCTGTAATTCATCAGTTAATGACTTTATTTATTGATTTATAGACATCAAAAAATAAAGAATTTAGACGTATTGGTGATGCGCTAATGGAATTCAATGAGACAGACCCTTCTGTCTTTTCAAAAGACTTTAAAACTCAACTGGCTAACGTAAAAAAGGGAAACTACGGCTGGATAGGTAGTTTAAATTTTCTTATAGTTTCAACTATTTCTTGAAGGGTTGAAATAAAAAATTTTTAATATGATCCTTCAATTATCTTTTGATTAAAATTATGAGTTTTATTCTATATGTGGTTTAAAAATAAATCAAATTACATGATTATACTTCAAGGAAGAAGTAAGGTAAATTTATTTACAAGTATGTTTTCCAGTATACAGATTTACAAAATAACCTGATGTTTTTGTTTATTTTAAACATTTACAAGTAACTGAATTTGTAACGAACGCAATTGTTTTGTTAGGGATTACAATCGAAATCTGTTTTTATTTTAAAAAAGCTTCTTGTTTAGTTATGATGACATTCAAGTACACATTTACTTTATTTTTTATACCAAGGCGACACTGTTGTCATTGAAATTGAGATGGCAAAAGACTGTGAGCTGATGATGATCAAAGAAAAGTTTTTACCCCTCAAATATGCGTTTGGGTTCACGAACAATTCACCACATGTTCAAATATTTACAAAACAGTAAGTTCTTTTTTTATTCTTTTACAATTTGATTTCAAGTTTTATTTACATTTAATTTATAAAACTGAAATTAACCTTATACTAAAGGGCGGGCTGTTGCAAGGATACAGACAAGGCGATCATTTTAATGGCATCTTGCTGGTGCATATGAGCCGCGTCTCGACAAACCAACGTAATGCATCCGCGCAGTCTGATCAGGATCCCTGCTGTTCGCTTACAAACCCTATTACAATTAGAGAAAGTGATAGCGAACAGCATGGATCCTGATCAGACTGCTTGAATGCGCAGGCTGGTCTGGATCCATGCTGGTCGCAAACGCATTACGTTGGTTTTGTCGTGGCGCAGCTCATATGCAACGTAAAATAGTCATGGCATCATTGATGAAGGTGAGAATACAACGTTTGAAATTATTGATGATGATTTTTTGTATTAAATCTTTTCTGACTCCAATACTCTGAAACCAAATTTTTTGTAAAACCTGTGATTAAGAACACTTTTTTACCAAACATGATGTCCGCATACCTGGTATCTTACGTCGGGTAATTCATGCATAAAGGGGTTTTATTCTCACAGTCTTACACTTATTGATAAACATTTGTATATTTTTCATTTATATTTTTGGTTTACAATGTCATAATAGTAACATCATATAAGAAAGTGTGAAATATTTCATTCTTGTATGACAATCGCTCTATTTTGTTCATTTACAGAATTCTTTCCATTCACGAATCTGGGCTTTTACAAGTTTGGAAAAGAAGATGGTGGCCAAAGTCTAAGGAAATTTGTGCAGAATCAATTATTGCAGAAGCAAAACCTATTTCTATAATTGACGTTCAAAGTGCATTCTATGTGGCTGCAGGCGGAGGTTTTATAGGATTCTGTGCTTTCCTTATTGAAGTATGCGTCGGCTGGTTGAAACAAAAACGAAAGGAAAGACTCTCGCAAGGAAATAGGTCAGGCGTAGATGTCAATAGTATCGTACTGAATGTAAATGAAACATAAACCATACATCATGACATAGTTGCTACCGGAGGGATTTCATCTTTTACAATTTATGATGACCAGCAATTCATTTTTAATGTTAGGGAAGAAAGAGGACTTATTATTGCCTCTGCACTAATACTCACCATTTGTAAATATGGAATGTGTATTTGATTTTCATATTTGTTTTCATCATTTGTTGCTTTAAACATTTATACAACGTTTATTGCGAAATAAAATCTATTGTCATTGTCATTTACAAAGAAGTAGTCTAGCAATTTTCAATATATTCAAATATCAATTCTGAGCATATTATATCTTGATTCGTAATAAGAAACAACAAAAAACAACAACATATTAAAACTTTCTATCGTTTGTCCTATAGATCAGTACTGATTTCACCGCATTGCAATCTATGTATAAATGAAGGGAATTCCATATTTTTGCACATATTTCTTTTATTTTTAAAATTCGTAACGCATAATCGTGTTGTGATTAACTATGATTGTGTTTCAAAACAATTCGTTTACCTAGAATGACGTAAGATTATTTCGTTATAATATTTAAAGTCAGTGACTTGAAGTAGCGAATTGGGCGCAAATTCCGTGTCTGATTTCGACGGGGTAATCAAATGCATGCACAAATATTGAGAAATTGCATGCAAATCGTCATACCTTGTCATGGATTGTTTTTATTTTATTTCAGTTGCTAACGTAGAACAATTGATACTACAGTAGAATCCTTACTAAAAACCACCTCGGATTTAAGATCAACCCGCTTTAAAGACCAGTTTTGAAAGGTATCCGGACAATTCCCCTCCCGGACGACCCCCCCCCCCCCAGTAAATTATCTTTTATCAACACGGGCAATTCCCTCCCGTTCTTTTAACAACCCGGACAATTCCCCTCCCGCTGTTGTCAGAGCGGACAATTTCCCTCTTGGGCTGTTGAATATTAATATTATATAATATTATTCATTTGAAAAGTATTTTTATTCGGCTTTAAATACATTTTGCTTGTCTCTAGTGCGGACGAGCGAATGGTATATCCCCAATTTTCATACATGAATATAAACAAACCATTTTTAAAATAATCTTTATTTCGTCAATACATTTTTGCAACGGCAAAACAATAAAAGAACAATTGATGAGAACAAAAAAGCAATTAAGCTGTAGATTCTTGCAAAGAATATATTATGTACATGTTATAGTAAATTGAACTGTCATCATCGTCATTATGATTAGAAAATCTCATTCACCATATTGAATCAGTACATGAAGTCCTAACACAAAATATAGTGATCATTTTGATTTTATAACACATTTGTAGGAATTCTCCTTCATTTCACAAGTCTTACACATTTCCCTATGGCATGTAAAAATTCCTGGCTTGATTTCGTTCCTGACTGAATTTCCTTGCACAGTTTTTTGAGCTTTCTCTGATGAGAGACTGTTTCTACGTTTCGTCACATTTTCTCCTACACTGTCTCTATACACCTCTGTCTCTACTGATGAATTGTCTTTCTGGAGGCAATTTATAACTGTCCACAATGATGGATTACTGTGTCCTACAAGGTGTCTAAAACCATTGTTCCAACTCTCACAAACGTTGTTGGTGCGATCACCGTCATTAAGTGTTGTTTCATGAACATTCCACACTTGGGGATCGAATCTTGGTAGGACTTTCGTAGTCGAATTCGTTTATTACATAGCACTGATCTGTATGATCCAGAAAAGTACGTTGAGTCAAAATAGTCTACTAAACCTGACAAGACATCTTGGGCTGAATCTCGAAGAATCGACATTCCTTCAGTCACCTTGCTCGCTGGAATGAAGGCAATGTCGTCTAATTGACCACAGAAGTGTCTGATATCCTTGTCTTCTCTGTACAACGACTGTAACCCTTCGCCTTTAATATGACGCCATGTAGCTTGTGTTAGGTGATAAAAACAACCCTGAAATAAAATAAAGAAGTTAGTCAAATCTAACAATAATCGGACATTTTTTTACACAAAAATAAAGATGAAACGTTACTACGTATTCAATAAATAATATAGGGCGCGTTCCATTCTACCATTCCGGACACGTTCTTCATGTTCTGTCCAGGATGTGTGATTGAAATGAAATGGAACACAAAACTGTCCGGGACGTTTGAATGGAATTAAACAGAACGCGTAACACAAACAAAATGGCTGACAGTAATATAAACATTCCTTTGCTTATTTCCTTGCTGGAAGATTCTGGCGAAGAATCCGATGATATGGGTGAAGAAACGAAGACAGTACTGATGTGAGCAGAATGTTCACTGTAAGACATTCATCGATTAGGTCTAAATACACTTTTTCTGTTATTTCAAGTTGAGTTAAATGTCAAGATAATGAAGATTGTTATGAATGCATGTTCTATGCGAGACACGTGGGAATTTCACGAAAAGAAAGATGTGTGAGCCACTTTTCAAAACTATACGCTTTATTACTTTTCTGAAAGAACTGCTTCCACTGCATATATTAGGCTATGACAATGTCCTTACCTTCATTCTAAGTGTTCTATTTCAGGCCACTGGAATTTAAGGCAAAGATTTTGGACTATACAGAATCAGTTGTACCATTTTATGACGACGAGAGCTTTCGCAGGAAGTTAAAGTGACATTATGCCCATCCAAGGGTATATAGTGAATGAAGGGTGAAGATCAAAATAGTTTCCATTTTTGTCATAATTCCTTTTAATTTTATAATTAAGTTCACATAACCAATAAACAAGTCACAGATCCAAACGAAATTTCTGTAAAAATCCATTAGAAATTACCTATAACGCTTAGTTTATAAAAAGAGTGGGGCAGTCTTTTTATATTTTAGGCAGATTTATAATTTTATCCTTAACATTTTCCAATATCATCTGTTGGTCAAACACCATTTTGACAGTCAATCTTTTGAAATATAAAGTCAATTCAGTTCAACTTGACTATGAAAATATGAGCATAAATGTCATAATATTCTTAGTCAGTACCTAAAGGATCTTCCCGAGTTCAGTTATGATCATCCAGGAGGTAAAGAGCATGTGACAGTTGAAAAACAGCTCCTGATGCACTGTGGTATCTAGGAAGTTGTGACACAATAGATTAAATTGGAGATCGATTTGGTGTTTCTACGTCAACCGTTATTCGCTGCAGAAACAGAGTGTTAGCAGCAGTAAATAGGCACCTCAAGCAGCGTTTTATTGTATGGCCAAATGCACAAAAGATTCCTGAAGTTGTGGCAAGTTTTGAACAGAGGAATGGTTTTCCGGGAATAATTGGAGCCTTGGATGGATCTCACATTGAAATAAAGAAGCCAGCAGCACATGGAAATTCATATATCAACAGAAAAGGATTTGCTTCCCTGCAGGTACAAGCTGTTTGCACTGATAACATGATGTTTACTCACATCCTTACTGGCTATCTCGGCAGCTGTCATGATGCCAGGATCTTGAGAAACTCTGATTTGTGGCAAAATGGTCAAATTTTGTGTGGAGAAAATCACATCATTGCAGATGCTGCTTACCCCATCCGTAAATGAATCTTAACCCCATACAGAAACAAAGGACACTTAAATGCTAGTCAAAGGAAGTTTAACAAATACCTGTCGTCATGTCGTTTTGTTATAGAACGTGCTTTTGCCTTACTTAAAGGCAGATTTAGGCGTATGAAGTACATTGATACATGTGTGAGGACTGCAGTTAGTATTATAATGTGCAGTTGCATGTTCCATAATATATGCCTTGTAAACCACGATGCTGTAAATGACTTTTTAGAAGATGCCAACATATCAAATCCTTTTTTAAATCCCATTTGTTTACAGGATAATGCTGAAGGAGTTCGCAAGAGAGACACTATAGCTGCTCACCTGTTTAATTCTAAGTAAAAAATATAATAAAACACAAAAATATCGTTTTCTTCATTGTTTTATTTGTAACATTTCAAACAAAAATAAACAAGAAAAATAAATCCTTTAATCCCTTGGAATGTAGAGATCAGTTCTGACTTGTCCAAATGATAGCGAGATCAAATTTAAAGTAAGTTATAATACATAAGTTGAGCTTCAATTCAGTTTATCCCCTGAAAGCTTTGATAAATATACACAAAATCAAAACAAACTTTACAGTTATATAAAAGTCGGTGAATTGTGAAAGGATAGTTATATCAGTAATTTATTACAAACTGAGAATTCAATAACATTTGCATTAACATCTGTAATTCCAATTGAATTGGTTTGGTATTGAGGTCACAAAAAATTGTGTGTAGGCAAACCACTAGACTTTTTGTTACATCTATAAATTTTGATAGCTGCCTGTTTAGGTCATTTTAATTTAGTCTATGAAGATTTAAACAGCCAGTAAAAATCTGTATTGTAATAATAAGTATATACAAGTACAACTATAAAAAAACATAACAATAGTAACACCACTGGCTCAGCTGGAGTTTTACCTAAGCAAATCTTTGCTAAATCTTTGCTTGAAAATAAAACAATTTAAACTATGTCTGAAGGTGTCAAACATTTTACAATAGTAAAACCTCTTATCCTGATGGCGCTATACCTAAGCATATCTTTACTAGAAAAGAAAACGATTCAAACTATGTCTGAAGAACAAAGTATATAACTGTCAAATATTGAACTAAGTATATATAACTGTCAAACATTTTACAATAGTAAGTAAAATCACTTATTATGCTGGCGCTTTACCTAAGCATATCTTTGCTAGAAAAGAAAATAACTGGATGAATGCATACTTATATATGTATGGGGCACCGTTTTATTATTCAACCTATTTTAGTGAAATATCACCTATTCGAATAGGAGATATCACTAAAATGGATAATATAGTAAAACGGTGCCCCATACATATGAAATACAAAGCATTCAGCTGCAAAAAATGTATCAATATTACAACACAGATAGCTTTAACATTGCACATTTTAGAAAATTTACACAAAACAATCCTCAAAAGCATAGCATGAATTATACCATACTCTTGAATCTTAAAACACAAGTAGCCTTTGTCAGTTCTTGGGATGGCATTCACTTTACATTGTATTTAACTGCTTGCAATGAACAGCTAAGTATAACATTTATACTAACTATTACATGCAATTTTGCATCAGTAATCTACTGAAGAAGATATGCAAAACGGGTTGACTAAGAGCATCTACAACCTGATGACCAAAGAAAACATGACCATAATAGA